AATGTTCAAAAGGGGTAAACATTTACGTAGAGAGAATGTTGCGACTCCGCAAAAGTGTGTAGGAGGATTTTATTGCAATATCTGGAAGAGGAGGCACACCTCTGTTTCTGGGTTGAATTTGAAGGCACAAGAATTCTGAACCGCGCTCGCGCTTTTGCGCGAAAAGTTACAAAATCACGTGCGAGCTTCCAAAACGCATTTCCCGCCGACGAACGTCCGCCAAATCTGATTCAGCGACGTTGCGGACAAACCATCACACGGGATGGTCACGTGACCGCTCATGTTCATAAATCCATGTATGTTCCCGCGCCCTCCGCACGTGATACGGCCGTGACATCGGACGGTCCCTTAGGTAGAAATTAATCGAGGGCAAATTGACGGGCTGGAGTCAGTTCACGGGCCGCTTTATCTGACAATTAACCAATGAAGGCGAAGGACGACCAACAACGCAAGTCATACAGAAACGGGGGCGCCCGCCAGACGGCCCGAAACTCCACACAGCGATTATCGGTAAACCTGCAACCGACAAACACCATTGGCCACACTGCCCTAACATATTCTATAGCCCGACCCGGATACAGGGACAGCCCTGGCCATACAAGGCAAGTATGGGTGAACCTTGTTGGTATTCAGTCCACACCACCCAAAGCAATTTGTGGCACAGCCGATGCTCTACACATTCCCATGGTCTATTTGACATTTTGCCCATTAAAGCTCAGCCCGTGTGCGGAGCCTCAGGTGCCGTGGGCAGGGTCCTCTACCTGGTAATAACGACTCCGAGCGGGGATATTGGGGTCGCTGACCCCTTCCTGCTATCCGCAACATCTTACGCGCCCTAAATCGACAAACTTTCTGCGCCTGCTCCGACTGCCTGGCTAGGCAGATGGGCATGCTGCTACATATATATTCTGCGCCAATCACAAAAGCAGGGGCCGCGTGCGTTGCGTTTTCGTTCGCTCGCCTCGTGCAGTTTGTCGTTGGCGCCTGGACAGGTGACTGGCTGCTCATGTAAAGTCGCCGTACAGTTGCCACAGCAACCACATACATGAATGCAGAACAGTCGTCCCTCCTAAAAAATCATGCGTTAACGGACACGATACTTTCCAAGCGCGCATGAGTAACGAAACCGACGACAAGAGACCCAGACAACTGCATTACACCCAACACTACAGGTTTCCAAGCCTAATGACAGCCATTTGTGTGGTCACCTACTCTATCTACTAGTAAATGAAGCTCTACTTTTGCAGTATTGTACCCTCCTGGAAATTGGAGCATATCTCGCATCCACCAACAAGCGGCACGCATACACGACAAAGGCACATCCGACATGCACCCTCGTTCGCCTTGAGCCTTTCACAAAAGTATGAGTAACACGTTTCGCCGACACTATGTGGATTAATACTGTCGCAACGTCCAATTTCATCCCGGACAGGTGCAAGCTGAGAAGGATTAGCTGAGCACTAGGAGCAAAGGGCAAGAGACGATGGGCCGTCGGACCTGTCAATCATCCAGGCAACCACAGAACAGGTGTTTTCCTACGCAGCAGTTTCTCTGAAAGCGAGTGACTGTTACTTTGTCTCATTGACTCAACTGTCGTAGTAACTGAAAAGAGGTGCTGATACATACCTCTTGTAGTAAACGTCTGAGGACTTGTTTGGACCAGGAAAGACGTAGATTGCATATGAAAGACATTTTAGTTGATCGTCTTTCATAAAACTGCAATACATCTTCCATGGTGCTGACGGTGTATGTAATTTTTTCTTCAAAACCCTGACATTTCACGTAGCACTGGTTAAATACTCTTTTTGTCCTGCAACTTTTAGTTTTACTTAGTCTACAAGCATGGAACTTTGGATTCCTAGAACTTACTTTTTCCCTTACTCAGACATTGGCACAAGCACCCATATCATTTTAACTCTTCTTACATTCAGAAATTTACTCACTAATGCCCGGTCTTTGATCTGCACTTGAAAAAAAGCTTACCTTTGATGGTGTAATGCTATGCTACACGACAATTCTAGTATTGCTGGTATTTTCGAAGACATGTAACACGACTGAGGTTTTCTGACCTGTCAGTTGACACACGGGTGATTGGTTATCTCAAATATCATGGACGTCTTCATCACAAAGACTGAACCTTCATCACTTTATCACACCTAACACACGACTGTGCAGGTTTTACATTGATATGCTGTCAAACACACTGACACATACACCAAGCTGCATATCATCTCGGAGACTTAACCAAAGCTGCACACCTCCATCCTGATTGGATATCTTCCCTGAACTGGACAAGGAACTTCTTCAGCATTCTCTTGTCCAGGAACTCTTGCCTAAAAGCTACAGCTTATTTACATGGAAAATGCTACATTAGTTCTACACAATGTTAGTTTTGCTGGCAGTCTATGGACAAACAAGTTTCAAACGTACGCTTTTTGAGTACAGGACAACGAAAATTGGTCATGACAGGATTAGTAAAGTTAACATCATATTTTCTCTCAAGTGTGAACATAATTGGCAAGTCATTCACTTATCAGACCTATTACTGTCATTGTGTAATAGATTATTTCAATAGGCGTAATGTCATTTCGCCCCCACCCCCAAAAAAAAAAATCTACTTGAACTTAGAAAGCAATCTAGCACATGAATTAAATGACAAACATTTCACACAAAAGTAGGCCACAAGTTAGCTTGTGACATATCTTAACAAATCATGCTTGTTTCTAATTCTCTATGCAACGACTTCTAACTCTCGGGAACAAGGTATAATTTCCTTCAGGATTTTGCATAGACTCCATATATACATCATGTTGACTCTGGCTTCCCGATAGATATAATTTCTGATCCTGACCCCAGACATATGTGGTAAATAAACCAAAAATGCAAGAAAAACATTTAGAATGAACTGTTATGATTCTGCACTGTTCTGGGGTGTTTAACTTCCGAAACTTGTGTGGAGTATTTTCCCAAGCTGAAACATTACGATGACAAAGCAGCAACAACACCGACGTGCTTTTGCTTCTCATGTGCCACCTCCTCACTACCATATTTGGAATGCGTTGTACCATGGCAGGGGTGAAAGGTCAGGTAACAGAGAGGGTATAAAGCCTCCTTCAGAGTCAGACAAGTTCTAGTGCTGAACATGGCCAACAGGATTTCTCAACTTCAAACATTTCTGGTTTTGACAGAAACTCAACACTCCTGCATCCTTTCTGTGCAAGTAGAAAGAAGCACTTCATTCCTACACCTCACCTTGTGTCTTTCCTACATACTTGTACAGGAAATCTGATATATTAGAATAAAACTACATGTGTACAAATACACTAGTTCATATACATGAATTTTGCATGGTTTTTCTTTGCGAAATGTGCCAGATGTACATGCAAAATTTCTAGTGGATTTCTTAAAGTATTACTAGCAGAAACCTGAATAATGCGCAAAATATGCTCAACTTGTAAACCAACAGTATCAAATGTTTCATCTATGGTAATATTTGCAGGTTTGCAACAAAATGACTATAGTTTCTTTTTTGAGTAACAGCAAACCAGTACGAGTACACAGATTGCTGAAAATTCCCAAATTTGCACCCATCATCTGATTATCCACATCACTGGTATCTTACTTGAACTGCAATCTTGTTCTGAAAGATGTTTCCACTTGTGATATGTTGAAAATTTATCAGTGATTCAGATGTAAGCTACTTTGGTTTGCTACCTTCTCCTGAGTTTACAAAAGACGGTTTTCCCTGTAATGTTTACATGTCAAAGTGAAAAGTTATCTTAAAGTCAAACGAGTTTAGCTCAAATGAACTCAATGAACAGTTGAGCTACACATACAGAGAAGACAGGTGCTGTGTACAGTATATATTGGTTCATTTTTACCAGGAAAATCCTCCAAGCTCTTTTCAACAAGTGCAATACATGTACTACGATTAACGACATATCCTACAGACTGCAACTCTTTCTAGTAGTAGCGTGCATCTTGAGTGAGCAACTGTCGGGATTCAAACTCAGGACTTCTTGTTCCAGAAGCTGGGTCAGTTACTTAATAGCCACAATACTACATACGCTGTGTACATGTCGTATTGCAAGTGTCTACATCAAGATGGAAGGATAACTACTACTGTACATTAAAAAAAACACTAAATTTTACCAAATTCAGGAGCTTTGATGCAAAAGTGAGAAAAGAAACTGCAGCAATAGGAAAACTACTGTGAGTGTGGATTCGTGACAGTGGATCAGAAACATTTGACAGGCACCAGCAGCTTCTGAACAGTGTCTAAGTTAACAGTTCAGGTTTCGACACATTGTAAATTGACAACAACTTGTAATATTGTTTGTTGAGAACATTGTTCAATTTCACCAACACAGGACGTTTTACACTTGTTTTGACTGTGAGAACAAGTCAAAATGTACTGGCAGCACTCCTTTGGTGGCTGTTAGTATATTCTGACTTAGGATTAGGAGGTTCAGAATATCTCATAAAAAGTTAAAAGTTCATGTAGCTCACTGTGTAGAGTGTATTCAGTTGTGTGTGTTTTTCATGTGTTATATCAAATGCAACAAACACTGCAGAGGAAAACAGTACATTGTATAATACTTATGTGATGTACAATTTCCTCAACAGACAACAGTGTATTGCTGGTGTTATTTTACATGTAAAAACAATAGTGATGCCTATATTACATTAAGATATCTATGTTGCATCTGTTTAACATATCCTGTTTTCTATTTTCCTAAAAAAATAGCATGTAAGACATAATACTAGAGGTTTTGTTGTGTGTTGTCTGCACTTGCCTGAATTGTGTCCTTTTGCCAATATTGTCTGCATTTTTTGCATGTGAATAAACAATTTACTATTCTGAACAATACATTTGTTGCAGAAATCTACATTATAATGTCTATCAAGTTAGTGGTAGAACTGCTAATGAATTGCAGTTGCAATACTGCTATAATTTCTTGTTAGTTTTTCTAAGTGCTTCAGCAGATCAAATCAAATACCTGGTGGACAAATACATCTTCCTTGGTGTCATCCCTGAAAAGTGAAGAAAGAAAAAAACTGTAAACAGGAAAATTACACATTTTACATCACATAGAAGGGTGAGTCAGACAAAAGGTCACCAAAGGTCAAGCCCCAGTGTCTGGGACTTCGGAGTTTTATTCTTGCTTTTTCAGTTGAAGAACTAAGCTTTATTCTAAATTTCAAAACATTACAAAAATAGCATCAGTTTCCCAGAATTCTGAAAATGGTTTTGGAAAATTGATACGGATTACTTTTTTTAACGATTCCGTGGATTGTTGCCAAGCTATGAGTTGAGCCTGAGATCAAGTATCAAGTTCGTGTTTGGATCTGGCAAGTTTGGTATGGAACGACGCAGCTCACTTTTATATCTAGCTTCAGGCTTTCTTTGTCAGATTTGGCAACATTGTAAAATTCTAGTGTACTGTCAAAACAGCAATTTATCACAAATGCACGGGGTAAAATTAAGGTTACGTGGGTACTCAAACATATCAAGATATTCTAAAACGATAAGATCTAGGGTGTGTATTCTATTTATAATTTCCATCAGAAATAAAAGAAAATTGAAACTGTAACACACAAATTTTACCTCGCCAGCTCATATGATTAACTAAGAAAACAATGGCAGGCAGTAGCCTCGTGGCGTGGCCGTGTTTTTTCTACCGTACTCCAGTCGCCATAAGTTGGTTTTTCTAGCTCACTATACCCGGTACTTTGAAGCTCACCTATTGATGAAGCCATAGCCGTTCCTAACGTTGAACCATTTGACCGTCCCTCGCACTCCTGTGGCTGTAGTGGGAAAGGAAAAATGACAATGAGCGTGGCACGGCTAGACTGCAAGTCCAAGGCCAAAAGAGGGGGTGACGAAGGGGTGACGAAGCGGAAGTGGGAGACCATGTCGCATGCCACGACCTACCCGACCCTACCGAACCGGATTTCAGACACGAAAATACCGTCTTTACCGAGAACGGTTTTCTCCTTCTTCGGCTCCTGGTGGACCTCGGGCTTCTCTTCGGCGTCCGTCATGTTGTTCTGCGGTGGTGTGGCCGGTGTATCGGCGGTGCCTCGCTCGGTGGTGTCACGACTCTTCCACGCTGTTCTTCCTCGCGCTTTGTTCTCCTCGCTGTGATGGCTGAGCTGCACGCTGCGCCGCCGGCCCAGGGGCACCACGGGAGGCGGCCTCCCATTGGTCCAGATCAACCTAGTTAACACATTTCACGCGCTCATTGGTTCGTTTGAAATGAGTTATTTTCGCGCGTTTTCCTCGTTGGTCTGAAAGTTTGCAGCTGACGCGTGGGAAGGCCCACAATGCATTGTGAAGTGAATGCGATTCACCCATAGAAACATGCAAAGACTTTGAGAAACAAAATCACTCACTTCGTTCAAGTTTAGCGTCATAAATCCCCAAAAGAGCCATTTATAAACTGGATAATAACTATTGCTGTGCGAGACATCTATCATTTGAGAAAGCGAAACAGAGATGCAAAATCTATGTATTGATGTATTAAATAATAATGCATGGATTTTTATATAGCTAAATCCGACCAAGGACATTATACAGCCCTTGATCCGACAAAGATATTTCCAACTTTTTCTAAAAATATGCAAAAAGCTTTCCTGTATTTCAGTCTTCAATAACATACTGCAAAATTTGTGTCATCCCAAAAAAGCATAACACAAGACCGTCATCACTCTACTCTACTCTACTCTACTCATCAGGTGAAAAAAGGACATATCGGCCAACATTCATTCTATCGGTATTGGAAACAAAGCTAGAAAATAGTAGAAATAGGCATTCGTTGAGTCAGTCAGTCAGTCGTTCAGTGAGTCATTCTATATTTGGAAACATATCAACACCTGGAGTCAAACACAACTAGGCTCTACCAGGCTTCGGGAGGCGACTGGAAGAGTAGAAATCAGCCAAATAGAGCCTCCCAAAGCCTGGTAGAGGCTAATACACAGCTAGTGCACTAGCATGGTACTATATTGATAAGGCGTGACGTCTACGTACATATTGTAACAGCCGTCATGCTATGATTTGATTTCTGTTCCAATGTTCCAACGGCTCAGAGAGAGGACAACTCGACAAGTATTATGTATGGCATCTACAATTTGCTTTGTCCTAAAATATGACACAAAAGTCTCATTTCAAGAATGATACCCGGTCCGCCACAAAGTATCAATTACATGTATCTAAAATCTCTCGAGGTACTCAATTTTTGGTTAACGTTCTTCGGATTTGACCAGAGAAGTTCCAAACAACGTCGCTAGGAGGCTCTTGGCAGCTGTTGGCTAGAAATTTTGTTGACTCATTATGGAGTTACTCTCATAAGGTATTATTATGTCTCCAAACATATTTACCGGTGGAATGATAGTCGGTAAAATAATTAAAAAAAACACAGCTATCTTTTTGCCTTTTACTCCACACTGCTTCCATCTGTAAGTCTGCTTTGAGATTTGCTATAAGGGTGCGTCCGAACCGCGAGTCCACCAGACCCTTTTGCAAGGGCTAAAAAGGAATGTAGCCTGCCAGGGGAGTTTGCCGGCCATAGAGGGTCCACTTTGCCTGATCGTCGAGCGCGTCGGCATATCTGAATGTGTCTGGCCATCCCGTGACGTAGGTTGTACCCCGTGTGATAGGCTGTGAGAAGTCGCTATCCTCTTTGATGTCCACAACTTGATGGGTTTTAAATATCGTCGACCCTCAAGTATAAGTTTGTAGGGATATATTTAGATGCATCTTTCCAATCCACCTTTAGCGTCCCATGGGTCTTATGCTTGTTTTATAGTTGTTTGAAAAGTAATAAAAGCATTTTTTTCACAAATGTCTCAGTCAGTGATGCTTTTCAACATTCAGTATGATGATTTGGCGTAACTGCAAGTTTCTATATATGTTTCTTTTGATACATAATAGAATGAACCTTGTTTCTTTCTTCAAGATCTCAGTTTTGAAAGCTTGCGGTGAAGAAAAGGCCATTGGTTTCAAGATGGCTAAATAACGCGTACGGCCGCTGTAGTTCCAGAACAGGCTGCTAGGGAACCCAAACATATATCGGATCCCACTTCTTGCGGAGCACAAGAGCTATTTACCATCTCCAACATTCGTGACCCTGGCATGTCCATATCACGAGATATTATATTGAAAGCTACATTACAATACCAAGCCGCCAGGGGCTCCAACATTTGATCATTTCGAGAGGTCTCATCAAAACCTACCAATATGCCAAATCGCAAGATAATCCACAAGTTAAGCCTTCTCGAGTTTATCGGCTTGACAGACGGACACACAAACGCACACACGAACGCTATACCGGAAACATAACCTTCTTGACAAAGGTAATAATATGATGCGAAATTTGTCATCTGAAAACACAAGATGACGAGCCAAGACCATGCTTTTTCAACATTCCAACATCCATTTTATCGGTATTGAAAACAGAAATCTCTAATAAAGACATTCATTCAGTCATTCACCACCCTCACTCGTTCACCATTCAGTCATTCATTCTTTACGGTCCATGTATATGGAAGCATTGAATAAGTGCACCTCAGTAGTCATAGATGATGTCCGGGATCCGCTAACTCACAATAGCATCTAGCATAGACATGGTACTGACTACAATAGTAAATTTCATCCTACAAATCTAATGTTCCGATAGCCTAAAGTCCAGCCTTGTTAGCTATAGGTTCGCTCCCAAAAAAATCGCTTCGCCCCAAGCCAGGCTGGATTTCAGGCTTATGTTCTGAACTACCTATGGTAGAGAGCACGATGATGGATATAAGGGACAGCATCTACAATTTGCTGTGGCCTATAGCTAATTAAATGACACAAAATTTCCTTTTTTCGCGTGGTACTCTAAAGTTTGATTCCTTGGATTTAATCCAAGTTCTAGAGAACGTCGCTAGAAGGCTCTTCGCAGCTGTGCACAAAATTGTATTGACTCAGTCATTGTCTATTGACTGTGGAGTTACTGACCTCCTTGCTATAAGGGTGTGGCCAAACAGTGAGTCATCTCCATAATTAATGTGGTTGTGAATGTTGAGTCGCGATCACTGTTGGCATAGTTCATAGTTCATATAGAAATTGGTCAAATAGGTAGGTAATATACCAGGGGAGCGGCAAACATGCTCCTGGTGGAGGCTAGTTTTGATATTGACGACGTCATTGACCAATATTTTAGTGCGATTTTTGATTCTGAGTTTCAGTTTCGTCTACTGGGTACCATCCGGATGTTGCTGCTTTTCTTTAAAGTTTGCTGACTAGCGCAGCAAAATCCGGAAGGTACCCAGGCTAGTTTCGTTGCTTCGTATCTGTAAAGGATTGCCTCATAATCTTCTCCTGTAATGCAATGCCCCCAAAATGTGTTGGAGAGAGAGAGTAAGTCTCTTCAATCATTACCAACAGATGTGCAATATTTTTGGGTAGGGAAACTAGTCGGTGTGGTCGCTAGGTGTCGCTCCTGAATTGCCTCATCATCGTTTCCAGTGATGCAATGCCCCATAGCGGGGGCAATTGCTGGTACCCCCCTCTACAGCACATTGGTGGCCATGAGTCAGCGCGCAGGCGCTCTCTGAGCCTCTTAACTTGCGCCAGCCAAGTCACATGTAAGCCGCTCTCTCTTTCTTAACATATTTTCATGTCTTTATCCCGTTATCCCGGGTGATGTTTCGCCCCACGTCTCTCTGACTAGTTCGTAGTCGCCATTAGGTGTTTTGTGGGGAATTTTGTAGGTTTTAAGCATCTCGGTGGGGAGTTTTTCAACTTTCGATGATCGCTGTTTCATTGTAGAGCCAGCGGCCATGTTGGTTCACCCCTGGCCAGGCATGGCTCCCATAGCACGGTTTCCCGCCGTTCTGCCGGCCGCAAACTCCCCGTTTTGGGCAACAACTTCGCACGATTCGCGTCAAACAATCCACAGACCGTAAAACGTTGAATTTGAGGGGCGGTTCGGCGTACGTGGGACGAGAAAGTTGTCGTTTTTGTTGGTCTCGGGGCCGCACCGGTGTGCTGGTGAACCGGATTGTGGGGGAGCACAGTTGTGAGGACAGAGGGGCCACGTTGGGGAGACTTGGGTGTGCCCGCACTCTGTCTCACCCAACTCCGTCGCCTTGAACTTGTCGTATGACCTCTTTTTCCCTCATAAGCCTACCCAAAGGGAGTTGTATACCTCTCTGTGTCGGTGGGACCGGTGTATCTTTGTTGTATGCAGCACGAGTCTCTATATCCGGCCGTTATGTGGCATATGCACGGCAGTTTCAGTCTGCACAGCCGACCTTTGACAACTCAAGATTTGCTATCGAATGTCAAATTTTTAGCATATTCTAGTCAAAACCACAGTGTAAAGAAATCGGGTTGAGACCATCTCCTTGCCATTCAAAACTTTGGCTTTTTTTTTAGTTATTTTAGAGTTATTTCTGGTGCTTGGTCATGAAAACAGGAACCTGAAAAGTTGTCAGCATATCATTATAACGTGGCATTTCCCAAACATCATTCTTTTACATATGGGAAGAGTTTGGGCATTTCCTTTTCTGTGCTCATGTTCTTTATGGCTAAGAAAAACAACAGTTGTGTAGGTAAGAAGTTATGTTTCCTTCTTTGTGTATGTGTGAAATTACTGACATTACACAAAAGTTTGTTGCTGTGCCGGTTAAAACACCCAAAATGTGCCTCAATCATGACTATGGCCACCACAACTCTGACACACTTGAAGTTGCTTCAACCTCTGGTTGTTCGAGTTGCTCAAAATAAAAGAAGGGCAACTAATTTCTGTCGTTATAGAATGTGAAAAATGTTACACCTTCTTTGCACTTCGGACTTTGGTAAACAGTTGATGTAGGCCACTGAATTAGCTAAATTTTTCTCTTGTTGTTGGCTTATTCAGTTTATTTCCTTGCTTCTGACACACAATATTTTACCAAGAGGACATAAAAAACAAAACAGGGCTGCAAAGAAAAATTTGAATCACACTTTGTTAGTTACCAGAAAGTGATTATGCCAAGATACCAACTTTACTCTTTGACTCGTATGACTTGTATATTGATGCTTCTAATGTTGTTGCTTTTAACTCCGAAAACTGATGGATTAAATTGGTGCATGCTTAGTTTCAACTTTTTTCAAACATTATCTGTGAGCCCTTCCATTTTCAATGTTAACTCTTGAATTTCAGTGGTGCATCTTCTATGGCATTAGCATTCTTCCCAATCCAAGTTGACTGTTGTAACATATTGATTTTCAATTTTATTGGGTTTTTGTATTATTGCCACCAACTCACCCGACACGTGCACTGCAAAAATTGTCCTGATTATTAATTTGTGAGGGATGACACTAAAAATGAACTGTGTTCCTGCCTTTTTTAGTATTGTCAATCAAGAATTTGAAACTTAGTGCAAGCTTTTTGTTTCTTTTTGTGGTAAAAAAAAGCATAGCTGAAAATGTCCTTCTGTAGCTCAGGCTAGAACTTGAAATTGAAGGCAAAAAGTTGATGATCAGGCATTATGTTATGCATATTATAGCACTGGGCGTTGTCCTTATATTCATCTGTCTGACGTTGAATGCTTATGAATGCAATATTTGAAGATGACTATTGCAGACAAGCTAGTACAGTAGATATTCTTCAATGAAGGTAATTGGGGGTTGGTAGTAACAGTGTTCACTTGCATGCACAGCTTGCCAAAAATCAAGAATCTATACTCTAATAATATATATCTACAGTCAAAGCATACAGGTACATTGAGAAACATGAGTGACAAAGTGTGCAGTTTAAATCCCCGAGTGGAAGAATAAAACCTTAACTTTTTACCCCCAAGAAGAACAGTCTTAACCCTTCTGTGGAGCCCATATATAATAACATATATATGGGTTCCACATGCAGCACCACTCATATATTATAGCACCCTGTATATGTATGATTTGGGGGTATTTCTTGAGCAACGCATCACACTGCAGCAAAGCACGATGAATGCGAAAGTAACTACGTCACCGTTGGGCAAAAAAGTTGGGTCTATGTCCAAATTGAGGCATAGAATTTTTAAATCATTGTGTAAAAAAATACCAGGAGGATAAGGGTAAATTAATCATACATGCTTTTACAACATCTGCTTTCTTCCCCACCTCTAACAGCTGACCCAGTACAACAATGGCAGACGAAGGAGATTTCGAACGCGTAGATGCTGGCGCTTCCTCCACCTACCCACAGCAGTGCTCTGCTCTGCGTAAGAATGGCCACGTGATGCTGAAGAACCGCCCCTGCAAGATCGTGGAAATGAGCACCTCCAAGACTGGGAAGCACGGCCACGCTAAGGTAAAACAACCTACTGGGTGTTGCAGTTCTCTAACCAGTGCCCGTTTTTCTTTCAGGAAACTGGAACTTTCTGTCAATTACCCAAACTTTGTAAGGTATGACGGAAAAAAAGTTCAAACCAATCCGTCAACCTTGACAGTCGAAAATCAACAAAAAGTCTTCAGTAGAATTATAAAAACATCCAAACAACGACTGGCAACCACTCAAAACCCCATGATTTGCCACTCAAACGTGGAAAAATTGCGTATTTGAACGCTTCAAAATCCAATCTTTCCTACGAACCTGGGCTGATGGAAAAAGAATTTGAGCTGGCTAGAACCCAGGGATGTTGTAAACTACTGTAAATTCATTTATATTAGTAGTGGAGATTTTACATCACCGTAAAAATGGGAAAAGAGTTTTTCATGGTTGAAGCAATTCTGTTGTACAGTAGAATACACTGGACAGGCATATTCGCATAGACCCAACATGAACACAAACTACGGTGTGCGCTATTATACTTATAGCTTTCCTTTGTACCGCAGCAGATCTTTTTTGTACACTTCTCGTCTTCTATGAAGTTATGTACAAGAAGTAACATGAGTTACCAAAGCGTGGAAGGTCGCAAATCTTTGCTCAAGTCAGACAAATTCTTGGAAGAAGTATGTCAGGAAAGACAGTGTAATCAAATACTGGATACACATGTATTACTTTCACTACTGCACGTTCTGAGTTATATTTTTGTTTCAGGTTCACTTAGTGGGAATCGACATCTTTACTGGTAAGAAGTATGAGGACGTGTGCCCTTCTACCCACAACATGGATGTTCCAAATGTCAACCGTCAAGATTATCAGGTGAGGCACTTACCACGTACCATAACATCACAAATGTATTTTAAGCCCAGGTTTCACAATATGGGATGTTGTTAAATGATAAGCACAGCATCACTTGAGATGACATGTTAGGTGACAATATTTTTTATTTTTCTGAACAAAGTAAAGACACCACAAAAATTTACCACAACTTCCAAACATTTACGAAAAAAATAAAACTCCACAACCCTTTAAACCTCTCAAAACCTACTCATTGCAGAAAAAGTCTAGACAAAGAAGTCCAACCCAGAAAGTTAAGCTTGTGTTCTGTGGCAATTTACAGAACTTGTTTTTACTTGTATGTTTGTCTTACAGCATGAATTTGCAAATAAATAAATAAATATCAGGGTTCTCACCAGGATTTTTTCACAGCGTAGGGGTCAGGTATAGAAGGGCAACTTTCTGCGGCGCGAGTCACGCACCGAGTCCCCAAAACATGGGCCTGATATTCTCCCCAAAAAATTTTGTAACTCATATTAACCACTTAAGACACTATTTATTGTTTATTGGGGGACAGATTTTGTTTTCCCTCTGTTATAGCTTCATTCTTAAGTTATATTTTCATTTTTTTAAAGATTAATGAAGCTTCTGCCCCCAAAAACCACCCCTACGCTGGTTGAAACACAGTGTAGGGGGCTAAATCACAGCATAGGGGATCAAAATCACAGCGTAGGGGGCCCCTACGCTCAAACAGCCTGGTGAGAACTATGTAATATATATATATTTCTTCAGCTGGTCGATATTGATGACAGCTACATGTCCCTAATGGATGACGGCGGAGATACACGCGACGATCTTAAAGTGCCCGAAGGTGATGTGGGCAAGGACATCACCACCCGTTTCGATCAAGGCGATTCGATTATGGTAAGTACTGCTCTAGATTCCTCTAAGTACTTCCATGAGTAGTTTCATCAGGTTGGTAAGACCCTGAGTAAAGAGACTCTTTTCACACTTCTCTCTGTCACCTTCCTCAGGGCAATTTTGACTGGTTCACATGGCATTTCATTTGGGAATGCAACTATAGCAGCGACACCTGTGCTGCAGTGCAATGTGAACCAGTCAGAATTGCCCCGAGGAAGGTGACAGACAGTCACCGAAATGTCGGCTGAAGAAAAGACTTGGTTGTGTAAAAAGAGTCTCTTTACTCCTCCAGGTACTGTAGATCGCATTATTTTTGCGGTAGCATAGTTTCGCCGTCCGAGAAAAATGGACATGTTTGCGGAACAAAGTATTGGCAGTGGCGTCACATACAGAAGAAATAAAGTCGATGAATTATTTGTCCGCATTAATGACAAATTCGCAAAGTGACAGTGGAAATCACGATAAAAGTACTACAAATATTAAGTGAGTTACAGTATCTCTGGTGTCAAATGATGTCAAAAATGGCCTAAGGTTTTTAAAAAGTCAACAGATTGTAGGGAGAGGGTTATCTTCATAGTGAAACTGTTCCCTTCAATAAAAGGAATTAGAATTTTTGTTTCACTGGAATTTTTGACCAAATCTCTCAGCTAGCTTACTGTGTGTAGACACACAACTCAAATCATTTCTTTGAGTTGGATAAGTTTACTTTTCACTGTAATTAACCAACTCAGATTAACTTTCATGCAAGCAATCCATATTAAGTGTTTCACAGGGCTTGTTTATTTAACAGTTGTTCAGATCCTTTTGTGGTTTGAAAAGTACTGAAAATTACTTTTTGTTGTAACAAATCTCTCAGGCAATTATGCTTTCCAAAGATTTATACTCCCACATTCAGAATGACAGTCTGTCATAACTGCAAGTTGATTTCTTTTGTTTCTCCTGATACATACGAAGAGTACGAACATTGTTTCCTTCCCAGGTCACAGTTTTGAAAGCTTGTGGTGAAGAATTGGCCATTGCTGTTAAGACCTCCACGGAAAAGTAAACTGGGCTTCTTCTTTGGAGGTAAGTCTTGAAGGAAACTCTTGACTAAGTTTTGTTAATTTCATCACAGCAGAACAAAAAACTTACTTTGGATGATGAAATCTGTATGTACTGCCTGGCCATTTTGTGGCACATTTTTGTCTTCATTTCATACTTGAAGCGTTTGCAATAGCCCAAAAACAATCTGTGAGTAGTCCGTTTATTATTTGTTATCGCCAATAGATAGCTAGACTAGAGCCTGCCTGCAATATGTAACAAGCAACTGTTTTCAGTCAGCAACACAACAGTTTTACCTCACAGAAATCAGTTTGATGTGGGATAGGGTTGATTAAAGTTAATACATAGAAAAGACAACCAAAAAATTGATTTTGAAAATCCAGTTTCACTGTCCTAAAATTACATTGGATAACTACTATTTCGGGCATTGATTAAGGTTAGACATTCAGGTAGAATGTTGCATAATACAACTACAAGAAAACTAAAATAAAAAGTCAAGCAACTGGATGTTTTGACTGCAAGGACTTTATCCAGTCACTTGATTATGATGGTTGAGCTGTGGGTTTGTGTGAATGTACAGAGTAGGTTGACAGCATGTGGGTCGGGGGAAGATAGGTGGAACGACAGGAATTGGGGGTGAATTTAGGTCACAAAAGTTGACAAAACCCTAGATAAAAGGATTTCGAGACCTGCTATCCAATGACATGCATCTGCTATTTGCTAATAAGTCATCTCTCTCTCTTCACCAGTTCTGTGGAGGCAACAGCATTGAGCTAACTTGGTGACAATGGAGATGATTGCTTCTGCATCATGTTCCATCCTGCTCAGGCACAACAACAATAATAAAAACAAGAACTGGACTTCCCGGCTTTACACTTGCTTCCTGTGGCCACAACTCTACCAACAACAACCAAGATGCAACGTTTCCTGCATTACTGTACCCGTGTACAGATCAGATCCTTTAAAAAAAAACTGTTTCATGAAATCTTCCAGCATTGCTGATCCCTGTAGTGTCGTCATTGTTCTAACGTAGTTTTTTTTCTTTGTTTCCTTGTGTTGTTGCAAACACTTGGCCAGTCCCCGAAATGATACGACAGTCTTTACAACTGTACAAAATGATAGAAATGTACTGTAGTGTAAATTGTATCCATCTCTTGTCCATTTGTAACGTTTCAAATCCTGCACAGGTTATTATTTTTTGTTTCTTCCTTGGTGTGGCAAGCAGGCGAATCCCAAGTTTTCAGCAATCACATTGTCTGCACTACTTTGGGCACTTTGTACTTCACCCCAAGACCGTAACCTGAGTGAGAAAGATGGCGTCATCTCTTGCCTTGCTCGACAAGTTTCTATGGTTACAGGCAGAGATGAGCTCTCTTTCTTACTGCAGACGGAGGTCGGAGGTTACGACCTTGGAGAGACTGGGTGCAAAAGGCCCTGACCTTGGCGAGACTTGGGTCGTCTGCTTGGGTTGCTGGTAGTAAAGCCGTGGGGGGAGGGGGAAAATGGATTGGGTAGGAGGAAAAAAGAGCCACTTACTTACTGATGTAGCGTTAATAATCTTGTGTCTGCTGCCAGACCATGCCTTGGGCCTTCACACACTTACTACTGGGATTTATCAGACAGAAATCCAATAAAAAGACATGAACCAAATGGGAAGTTTCAGACTGTCAGGCTTGTTTGTGACGTTAGCTTTAAATTAAGAACTTCTTAGTGATAATGTCGGTAGATGGATGGTGGCACTACGGAATCCTGTGAACCGAAATTAACTAAGAAATCGTTTGCATCAAAATGTTGTCTGATGAAGTTTTTTTTTATTTCCTATATGTTGTGTGTTCTCACCGATTTCTTGCATTCTTGATTCGATGGTGCCTTTAAGGTTTATCTGCTAGTAGATGTACACAGGTGTAGGGAGCATTACAAAATGTGGGAAAGTGCAAAAAGTAGCATTTTCAGTACATTGAAATGAGACATTTGAGATCTGTGTCTTTGTTTCACTGGTAGTGCATTATTGTGAAGAACCACATTTGTGAAAATAATATGTTAACTTGTTGAAGCCAATTTTTTTTTCTTTCTCCAGGAAGTGGCTCAGGGCCCCACTTCCTATTGTAGCAGGCAATTTATAATTGTGCTTTTTAAGGACATTATATAATGTCCTTGTGCTTTCTAAATCCTATACAGATAATGTTTTCACAATATTTTTTCGGCCCAAGGGACAATTGTGTAAAGTCAGATGTGTTTTTTGTGTAATGGCCCACGGGACTGCCCTGCCGAGGTCGGGAAATGTGGCATTTCTCAGAGCAGAAAAAGAAGCAATCTGTTTCACAGCTCCAGCCCAGAGGCATTGCCAAAAATTGGGTGCACAAATAGTGTGAACACTGCTAGCAAACCGATTTACTGAATGGAAACCTATTTTCCATTTGTGTGGTCTAGGTGGGAAATTTAGGCCAGATAACATTTTCAGTGATAAAGTCCCTTTTGTAGAGCGCAGATGTGTTCTATTTTCTAAGGTACATTTTGAACGCAGGCATACTCACATAGAAACTCCTTTGCACATGCTCGGTTGCTGTCAACTTGTTTGTCTGACTTGTATGTTAATGAAGACTTTCTGCAACTCGGAATCACTAGCAATGTGTTTATACGTGTAATTGGTAGGAAAACCTGTCTTGATAGTACCATATTGAAAATGATTAGACTTGGTAGCTTGTTATGGTACTGCAGAGGAATTTCTGATTTGATCTCTTACCTAGACATGCTAGGTTCACAAATTTTGGATGGTAAATTGGCTATTCCTGCATATAAGTTAACGTTCAATATGATGATCTACCTTCATAGTGGCACGCCTAGGTTTTTGCTGGTGCGCCTAAATTTTTCGGGTAGCACCAGTGCTCCTAATTCATATAAAAGTTAGTCTATAGCTGTATGGGATAACATACATGTTAGCCAAAACCTGGGCATAAGCCAGCTATAAGGAACGAAGAGCACAGCCCATAATTGGCAAGTGAAAAAATTCTGCCTTTGTTGGTGGAAGAGACACCGCCTTGCCTCGGCAGTCCCCCTGGGTGGAAAAGGGTTAAAAATAAAGCAAACCTGGGACTTAACTCTCTATACGACTGAATTTGGCTCTTTCATTGGTCCTAGTTATCCTCCAAGCAGACCCTTGGTGGCTGCAATACAGTATAAAATTGACAAGGCAGTATTCGTAAACAAGTTACAAGTACAGAAACGAAAGCCTGATAAAATGCCGAAAATTACATTAAACCTCTGCTGGAATACTAGGTTCTTAGTCAGGCACTAGTGTATTGCTGTTATTCTGTAGCACTAAGTTTTTTCTATTGATCAACTTGACAATGAATTTAACCCAACACAGACAAAACTATCTCTTTTTTTTCTACCTCCATGGTTACATGTCCAAACCCCTCAAAGGTGATAAGCTCAGAAATCTTGCTGCACTGAGCACAAGACTTCACAGGGGGCACTGCTGAGTTAAAATGTAGTCCGGGGTTTTGACAGACACAAAATGGTACATGTATCTTGGGCCTAGGAAACAAAATGTTGTTTACAGTTTAAATTAGGGTTGGTAGGTAGGGATTATCTTTTTTTTTAGTCAACTTACTAGTATTCACTAGTGATCCAACTTGTAATCCAACTCATACAATACAGTTTAACAAAGTAAAACTTGCATGAGGACACATATTTTCAATGTCAATGTTGTAAAACTGATTGTACAACGTTTCATCACTCAGGTGTCAGGTCATGTAGCTAGAAAAGGTTGATCAGCTTAAAAAAATTTATGTCCCTTGCAGGGGTCCACACAAAGAAAAAGGCTAGGGTCAGCAGTTTTTTCTATGGTCGGTTGGAAAACAGGAAACACATTTTTTCCTAGGCCTTACCATCTGTATAGCTGGTATATATATAAAACTGCCCCTGGGTGTAACATACCAGCTTTGGTGATGCAAATACCTCATCTCCAAACATCCTTTGATTGGTTGATGGTCGGGAAATTTCTGAATGTGTGAAATTTCTGAATGACAGGCCGAAGTGAAAGTATGAGGATGCCATTTGTTCACTAGAATGAAGCAGGCAAAACAACATAAGGTCCTAATGGAATCTTTTAAAAGGCAGCTAGGGGCAAAGAATGACGGATAACACGTGCTGACAGATAAAGACACTTTATTCTGATTATTTAACATCAGAGAGTCACATGTTTTCCTTGGAACATGAAGTATTGACTATGAGATTGACAAAAACAATCTCAGTCAAAAAGCCAGCAATGTCACAGGCTATATGTCATATTTTGTCACTTCACTGTTGAACTTATACACTTTTATAATGTGGCTGTAACATGGAAAAAGGTACTACCAACTTGGTCAGCAAAGTTAAAGCCAACTAGCTACAGTTTCGACAGGTTGACTTTCTCAAAGCTTCGTTTTGCTACTTAGTTATGAACTTGAAAATCTGAAAGGTATGTTTTGAAGGTTAAGCTTTACAGTATTGAAAATCACAGGTGAAGACTAGCTACTCGAACTGCATGGTTTGTTACAAAGATAAAACTTTACAGTAGTGAAAATTACTGGTGAAGACTAGCCATTTGAACTGCATAGTTTGTTACAAAGATAAAACTTTACAGTAGTGAAAATTACTGGTGAGAGCTTAGCTACTCGAACTGATTTGTTACAAAGGTTCAAAATCACTGCTGCTCAAACTGGTTGGTTACAGAAGTTCGACTTGATAAGTACTGAAAATCACAGGTGAGGACTTGGCTACTCGAACTGTCCGGCCCGTGCCTTGAAGGCGGCTTTGCGCTGTTCCTCGGCTTCCTTCTCCGCCTTCTCCTGCCGTTTGCGCTCGTAGTCCAGCCGCTGCTGCTCCTGGATCTCCTGTTGGTACTTCTCCTTGTCTGCATCTTCGTTCATCTGAGACATAGGAGGGGAGGGGGGTCGTTAGAAAAGTCCCTGCCACCAAGTAGTACACTAACTATATACAATGTTTAGTGTTAGATGTGCAAAGATTAGGATTAACAAGTCATGAATTGTAATGTAGCCAGCTGCTGCTGCGCAACATGCAGGTGTGTTATGCCGAGGGTATACAGATACAGAATTGTGGTGTGAGACCCATGAGAAGGGCCCTGCATGGGGGGGGGGGTAGTGATTATGAACTTTTTGAAATTTTCACCGCCGAATATGAGCTGATTATGAACTGGGCTAAATCATTTGAGTCTTGAATTACGTTGATTTAATTTTTGGTCAGCTGCCTACAGATTACCTTCATTTATGAGTAGAGAAATATGGTGTGAGATCTATGAACCATGAAAAATCCGGGTTTTACACAGTTGCACTACATTCTGATGACATGCTCTCGAATGATGATCTCACAGATGTTTTTACCTTGGATTCGAAGAACCCCTTGGCTCCTCCGACGCCGGCTGCCTTCTGTACTTTGATGGAGGCTCCAAACTTGCTGTGGGCCTCCACCAGTTTGGCCAGGCCTGAGCCCTCCGGCATCTCTCCCTTCATTACTTTACTCCACAGGTACAACCACTGGGAAACACAACATGGAGGGAGTACATGATTTGACAGATTCAAAAGTTAATGTAGTGATTGATCCTTAGTCCTAACCCTTATCCCTGACTATTACACATCACAAATAAAACAGTTCATCTTACTTCAGTATGGGCTATGGCTGTGCCAATTTGCAAATTAGGAAATATATGCAATATAAAAACTTACAAAAAATGCAAATATTTGACAGGCACTTTCATTGGTTGAACACACTCTCATTGGTTGAACCGCTAATAGCCATTCATTGGTTGAACTGGTAATTACATTGAACAGTCAGGATTGGTCTGATAGTGAGTGAGTTGACCTTAAACCACCTCCATATGCTTGTTGACTTTGCCCTTTCTCTAACCTTTCTCATGTTAGCTTCATCTTCCCTCTCATGTTGACCTCACTTATCACGGGTGCAATAAATTTGGCCCAATTTCACATCTTGTCTAGTTTTGTCGCATGAATGAAAAGAATTCCAAAGTCAAGTTCTTAAAGGCTATTTACTGGTAATGGGAAACAAACAAACAACCCCAGGTTCAAAATACCATCTCTATACCATAAATTCTGAGTGGTGCAGGTAATTTTCATTGTTACCTGCAACTGTGCAACTATGCAGAGTTCGAGTATTTTGAGCATTGGGCTCCCACCCCAACCATGTTGACTGGTTAGGCCATGTTGATTTGATTATATGGATGACATCCTCTGGGAACCCCAAAACTGACGCGAGCGTGCGAATAAAAAAAAGTTTGGCAAAAAAAATGTTTTCTTGATTATGAAATCTACCTGGTTGAACAAATGACTAAACACACTGTATACTGGTAGTATGGCGAATAATAATAGTAAGACTCTTCATTTTCATTTCTTCACATTTTCTTCTTTTCCTGATTTTGGCTTTCTATGACATAAGTATCGTTTTTCAATACATTTTTTGCAACATACGACATATATTCACTCATTTCACCGTATGTATACTTGAAAACAGACAAACATTCAAGTGCACAGATGTCATCCATATACTAGTAATCAACTCAACGTGGCCTTATGGAAACAAACACCCTCTCACCTCTCTCATGTTGATCTTGCCGTCCTTGTCTTCGTCCACCTCCTTGATGATGGCCTTGAGCTCCAGGTGAGTCATGGGGTCTCCGCGTTTCTCCATCAGCCTCTTCAGCTCCTCATAGCTGATAAACCCGTCCTTATCCTCATCACTCCTGCACAGTCACAGGGAGGAGAGAAATGATTAATTCATTACAAATGGCTGGATTGTGGTTTCTACAGTGTTTCTTAGACGTAGCAGCCATATGAGGATAAACTTAACCTGCAAGCTCTTATAGTCTCCACCAGACTCCTTTGCAGGCTGAATAAATAGTAGAGGGGGATCATTTATCAGAGGAGTTGGCCGGCCATAGAGGGTCCAGCTCATTCATCCATCCATCCATTCATTTATTCATAGTTGTTACGTTGTGAAAACCGTAGCCTCTACCAGCAGGTTTCAGATGCTATGTCCTTTCACGTTTTGGAAAGACACTTTACACGACTTTCTTCACTTCAACCAGGTGTAAAATGGGTTGGGAAACAATACCGTGCCCCAAAGATCCAAGGGCCAGTTGAACACTGGAATGTTCGAAACAAGTTCGAATACTGCCGCGGCGCGCCAGTCTACTTGTATTTTGTCGTACAAAGGCCCAGAATAACACGACAAGAGAGAGTGGCAAATTAAATCCTACGCGAACTAAGTTGAAGAAAGTTCGCACAGTTTCTGAAGTACAAGAAGAACCCAGAATTTTGTATAGGATTTGCAAAACGTCCACTTACTCTTGAAACAGCTCTTCATACTTCTTGCACTGCTCGCGAGAGAAGTAGTCGGAGAACTCGGGCCACGGGTGGGCGAACTTCTGGTTCGGATCTTCGTACTCCCGCATTTTCTTCGGCTCGTCCGTCGCTGAGCCGTCGGCAATTTTCGCCTGCCGGGCGAGTCTGTCAGCAAGCTCGTTTTCGGCCATTTTCGCGGGAAAATTTCGCGCAAACTACTAAAATAACGTCTGTGTGGAGTGTACCTAAAAGTCACGGTGCTCACTCAGTGCACTATACTCGACTTGTGGTCACTAGTGCTCACTGCACTGGCTTATTCTGATGTCATAATAGTATAAAAACGTTTTTAATTCGACGTCATAGACAGAGCAACGGGCAAACCAAAACTGGCGTTCCGCGTTCTTGTTCTAGAACATCCATCCCGGCGTAGAATTCTTACCTCCGAGAGATCGCTTGGTTAGCGAGATTTTTAGCATTTCAAGATTGATGGCATTTTACCACTGTCGTTCTTGTCTTGACTTGTGTTCTTTGGTACTCTCCAAGCAGAGGTTGATTTTTATATATGCCCCGTTGTTTGTCGGGGGTAGCGACAAAAAATGGGGCATATATAAAATAAAAAGGTAACGATCCTCCCCCATCAACCTTTTCTGGAGAGTATTCTTTGGGGGTATTCATTGTTGTCATACCCCAGTGAACTATTGCGAACCCAAACCAACTTGTTTCGTGGTAAATTTGGTGGGAAATTTGAAGATATGATGCAATGATATGATACAATCTTACATCATTCAAACAACTTTTTTTTCTATTTATTCAATGTTAACTTCCATCGATATCAAATCAAAATCCGAAGTCCTACGGATGCTCGTATTCCGTAACCTGGATACTAGCCAATGTCAATTTTCAATGTCAATGCGATACTGTCTTGGAACCACCAAAAGATCTGCTTGGAGAGTAACTTTACCACCCGAGGCCCTGTCCCAGCCCCTTTTCAATAGAAGTCCATAGACCATAAATTGCTTATTAAAAGCTGTTTGACACTGCTTTTGGTGTTGGTGAGTGAAAAAAAAAAACAGATATCGGTAGGAAAACTGTAAAACTTAATGTGAAGCAGAGACCCGAAGTTGAAGCGTCCCAGCATGTTGACCTTGTCAGTCATGTGTGGTGCCACATGTCTACTTCCCTCCCCTCTACTTCCTTCCTGCTTATACCTTCCTGCTCCCTTCAGTATATATACGTTTAGAACTTCATGAATCAACAGAAATCACCGCAGAATCTAGCCTTTTTTTGCAGGCGTTCCTCCAGGTTTGATCAGAAAATCAGCCCCCCGAACGCCTGCATAGGAGCCTACGGAGAATCCTCCCGACACGGCACCGCCATCTGTGGTTCCCCCAGATTTCGTCGAGAACCACTCCCCAGTCTGCTTAAACAGGGATCAACAAAAATCGCCGGAGAATCCTTCCGGCATGATGCGGCACCGCCCTTCTTGCTTCCCTCAGATTTCGTCGAAAACCACTCTCCCATCCGTTAATTTAATTAGATATGTATGACATTAACAGTGATGCAATTCCACTCCATGGCGACAGAACAACAACAAAATGACTAGTATCATGGATGTGAAATCTGTCTGATATTGATATTTACTGCCATTTCTTAGCACATTTTTGTCATCATTTAATACTTCGTGAAGCGTTTGACATAGCCCCAAACAAGCTACGTGGGAAGAAATAGCCCCAAAACAAGCTACGATACGGAATAGGCAACTTTTTTCCGTCAGCGACATCACATTTTTGCCAAACCAAAGTCAGTGAAAGCGATCATCGGCAGAGAAAGGGGGTGAGTGGCAGAATTAAATCATAAAGCTGACTTTGCGCAGCGTTGAGTCATTCTTAGAAATGCTCTGTTATTCTTTCCCGTAAATCTACAGTTGGACACATTTCAAAACGACTATACGTTGTGATAACGGGGGCTATCGGATCGCGGAGATAATTCTAGACAGTTAAACACTAGTACATCTGTCACTGTATAAAGTAGAGTGGATTCATTCCTCAAGCTGACATGTGCACACCACAGTCATCCCTCAGTAATTATAAGACATCTGGAGCCGCATAGTTCCCGTTTAGAACTTTTGTTCAGCCTGTCACATGTCTGTGGGCTTCTTCAAGTGTACAGCAGCTAAATACTACACTAGTTCATAATGTTCTCACTTTATATCTTTCTGGTGCTTATCGGTATACGCGTACATGTGTGTGCGCTCCCGTCACATATAGCTGAATATGGCTAGCCTCTACCAGGCTTCAGGTGCGGCAAACTGTTTTCTCCAGCCGACCAAACTCCCTTGGCATGCTGTCTCTCTATAGCAATTTGGCCGATTTCTACTCTTTCCAGTCGAAGCCTGGTAGAGGCTAGATTATGGATCATTATATGGCCTCCCGAACACTGCCGAACTGTCCCAACCATGGTTAGAAGTAGGTCGGGAGCAAGGTCGGCCGGTGTTCGTCCAGGTCGGCTACTGTTCGGCTTCGCCAGCTAGCCGAGTGTTTGAAAATGTTCGGGCGTGGACGGGTAGGTTCTACCAGGGTTGGCTGGTGTTTGGGAGTAGGTCGGTGCGTGGTTGGCAGTCAATTTGACTCAAATTCAACTCAAAGTCGACTTGATTCGTATATAAAGGTAGGCCATGGCACAAGGTCCTTAATCTGTCGACCAGACTGCTCCCGGTCTAACTAACTAACCTTGGTGGTCGGGGGAGGGTTCTGATAATACTACATCTGTCACTGGTGCCTGAGGCGTGGCAAGGGCGTGTCCATTAGTCACTTAATGGCTAATGGACACTCCTCTGGCCGATAGATAGTGCCTTGCCACCGTATGATCTGCTTAGAGATTACGGTAAACCGCGCCCACCGTTCGCCTGGCATTCCCGACTGCCACTGCCGTGCCTGAATGTGACAACTCAGCGCCTCTGCGGTAACACGTGGGACCTGCGTGTGTACGTGACTGTGAACGACGGTGTTTCCAAGAAGTCAATGCTTTTCACCAAGATCGAATCTCCCACTACTATAGTGGCCGTGGACTAGCACTAGCCTCTCCCAGGCTTCGGACTTAGAGGTAGCCTCACGCGGCCTGGAACAGAAACCCCAGCCCTGTCCTAGGCTTAAACTTTGTTATGGCGGCAGAAACCGAGAGTAGAAATTGGCCATATATATATATAGAGAGAGAGAGACTGATAATGAGTACCATTTTTTATTTATATTCACCACAAAACAAGGCTCATAGGAGCGACCAGATTGCCGGTTTGGGTTTCTATACTAGACAATGAGGACAGATGTTTGTTGGCCTTTGACTTTGACCATTTTGCAAATATATTCCTTGGAGGACCAACTCCCATAGCCCTGACATGTTATCTGCTTATTTGCCTAATTTGGCCAATCCCTACTCTTTCCAGCCACTTCTGAAGCGTAGTAGAGGCTATGAATCAAGTTCAGCTGGCATGGCACGGAAATTCACTACTTGTGATCGTCAACTCATGAATTTCCTGAAAAAAAAGTTGTAGGCCTGTCATGATATTTTCCGTGAAATATGTAACGAACTGACTGCTTGAACTGTCACTCGTCCGCCAGGATTTCCCGCCTTTGACGTCATAAAGCTTAATGAGGTCTAATGTCTTGTGTGTACGTGACTCGCTACTCGTCCGTACATATCTGGTGTGCGTGAATCTCTAAGCAGACGTTGGGGGTGGAAGCCGTTACATTTTCTGATGACTGTTGCTTTGTTTTCCGACTCAGCGAGAAGATAGAGAAGTTAGAAAATGCTTCCACCCCAACTACACACACACACACACACACACTCACTCACTCACTTACTCACACACACACAAACACACACACACATGCAAACACACACACACACATGCACACACACAAGAACATGATGCGCATACACACAGAGAGACACATACACTAGTTCTCAATGCACTGTCACTATGGCGAGTTACTAGTATTCTATGTCAGAATAGTTTTAAAACGTCATATTATAAACATCACATGTTCCCGAAAGATCGCTGAGACTGGTGGGCTCACGACCAATGCCACGTGCCTAGGATGTGCGGTCCGCCCACATTTAATACCTGTACAGTAGATTCACCTCAAAACAATGCGCTCTGTGTCCCTGACCGAACGTAACGCCGCATAACACGATTATGCATCCTCGATCACACCTACAGACTGCAAATGTCACGGTGTCATTGCGGGACACAATGAGTGTTACCTAAGTTCATGTTGTAGTCATAATGTCAATGCCATCTGCGGTCGTCTTTGCGCTGTGACCATATCAAATGATGCTGATCAATAATAATTAGCTATTTTCATTTTTCCTGATGTCGAAGCGCTGGAGAAATGGAGAAAATCAGACGGTGTAGGTCTCGGTTACTTTGTTAATTAAACAAGCCAGCTGGAAAGATACCGTATTGTGGCCGGTAAAATAGCCTCTACCAGGCTTCGGAAGCGGCTGGAAGAGTAGAAGTTGGCCAAATAGACAGATGTCAGGGGAGTTAGTCCGCTAAAGGTGTATTCAGGGGTGGCAAGTGTACTCCTTCAGCTGACCCTGGCATGTTATCTGTCTATTTGGCAAATTTTACTCTTTTCAGCCGCTACCGAACCCTGGTAGAGGCTATTTAAAACACCTCTAAGCCGGCGTATGGAATGGGTACCAGGCTAACATCACCATACCTGTTACTCAGAAGGGAGTCTCAGCAGACTCAGCTGTAAACATGGTCCTGTGTTATATATTATGCCGTAGGGCATAACCGCAGTATGGGCCTATGTCTGCCACATCCGTATTTGTCTTCGTCAGAAGGACTATGAAATTGTCTCGCCGGAGTGTGGGGAACTGCGGATTTTGCGATATAACTCTGGAAGGCATGATTCGACGTCCATGATTTTTGGCAGGCAGATTACCATTGTTGAGGCCAAATTCAAGTACAAGTTTCGGCTTCGTGGGGGGTCCGTGCGTCACGTTAGTGCACCTTTTGTGTTTGTGGCTTGTTAGCAAAATAACTCAAGTATTTGTAAAATGTTGATTATAATTCTTGGTGTGGTGCTAACTATTGTCGGGACCAAGGTTAAGTTCGTTACTGAGCTTCGTGGGGGGTTTCGTTGTGACTACAGGGGGCATT